TTGGAGAATGTCTTAGTACCTAAAGGATGCTAGGAAAAATATAAAATCTGTTGCTTGAAACTTTTCACTAAGGTTTCCTAATTATGCCATTTTAAGCCATTATGCCTTACCATTTTTGTGTAGACTGTTATACTTGCTCAAATGGTGTGAAATTTTTATAGTAGCCTACTTAGTTCATGTAGTATCTACTGTAATTTTTGTAGATTTAATGGTGTAGTTTTCATATATGTTTACCATTTTCCCTAATTAATTAAATAAATTAAGAAAGGTATGCAAAGAAATATTTGGGTGATGAACACCCTACTTTCTGGTGTTCTTGTGATATGTGTAATAAGTGAGTAGAGTTAGTTTTATCCAATTATTTGCTTACATCATAAGTTAATAATTATTTCATTTGCATCATGTCCCTCTAGACCGATCTGGGGACTTTGGAAAGTTCCCCATGATAATTTGATTTGCTGTGAATGTGATGAATACAAGAGTTGTAGATAATTTATGTATCTAGCTCCTGTCAAAATTTGAGAGCATTTGGCCTAGTAGTTAAGAAACTACAGCTGTTTAAAGTTGGGTTCCAGTTTTGCTTACTCTCTGTCTTGTGAGGACAGAGTTCTGTTGATTAAAGAATTCGACTTGGTAAAGTGTTGAATCATGCTTAGAGGTATAAAACTGCACTGTAGACAATTTCATAAGCTTTCCAAATTGTCTTGTTGCATGTCATTTGGATTTATAAATCTCTAGTTATGGCTAGTTTACTGTACTGCTACATAGTCTTCATTTTACTGAAAAACAAATGCTTGAGTGTATGTTGTTGCAATGTTCTCGTTGATTGTTTAGGGGTTAGCCTAACTTGAGAATATTCTTAGGTGTAGGTGCTAGGTCATTAACTGAAGATGAGCAATTATACATTAGGTTGTATAAACTTGGTAAGTAAAGTGATTTGAATAGGGCTTAAGTTGGAATATGCAGACTACAGCGAACATGTGCATTCCCCGAGCATCCCTAACTTCGTTCATGTGCATCCATGATATTTATCTTGCGCATTCATGCAATAGGTGTGCCAGAGGGAGTGAAGTTGCTGGAGTTCGAGGGAGCAAGCTAGGAGGAGGAGCCCGAGGTGCAGGCAACCGAAGAAGCAGCCGCCGAGGAGGAGTTGCCTGAGTGCCATGACCACCGTCCATCCTCTTTCCTGAAAGGCAAGCCCCGGAGCATTATAAGTCTCCCATGTCTTTACAAATATATTGAGTATCTTTTATTGTTGATGCTGCATTAAGTATAGGAATTGGTTGGAACCAATTGCTGCTTTATATATCTATCCTTGTCCAGATATCGCACTTGAATCCTATTTAAGTTCAGGAACGGGTTAAATGCTTAGCCATGCTTAGTGCGGTAGAAGTCGGGTGATTTCCTGTCACCTGCGAGCTTTAGGATGAGGTGGATCACGGTTGGCTATATTTGCTATTGTGGAAAAGAACCATGTGAATAATGAATTAAGACCGAGCGAGGTCCTGTGTAGGTTTGAACATAGTGACTCCGTCTGCGTCGTTTAAGGACCGATACGCTGTACGTCCTCAGGTCATGTTGAACGTAGCCTAACACTTAGTTGGCCAGATAAGTCGTTCTGACCGCGAAGCCTAGTAGCTCAACTTAGGCTAACCATGGGGGTTGGGGCATTCTGGAGGTAGTAAGGATGTGCGGAGAGCCATTGGCGTAAGCCCAAAGGTGGGTTAAAGGCCCGATCACCCTTGGCAGAGTGGTTCTCTGAGAATGCCAGGCGGCCCGGACCCGTGACTTTTCTTTTATTTTTCTCCTGAGTTGTGCCAAAGGTGACTTGTTTGTGACCCTGACGGGGGAAGCAGGGTTTGTGTTAGGAATACCCCTCCAGCTGGATAGGAATCAATTCGAATCACCGTCTCTCCCGGATAGTGAGAACTTGACTTGAGCAGCGGCAACGTAGATTCACTTAATTTAACGATATGGTTAAATGAAAGATGATGATGATGGATAATGTTGCCACAATGAATACCTGATATGGTTATTAATGTTTGCACCCTAATAAAATGATTGCTTAGTACAGGTGCTAATATAGTTGACAGGTTAATGGCTTAAAGTCACTACTAGCTCAGGTTAAAAGTTAATCATTATTACTTATGCTTTTCCGCAAAACGGAAGTGTCAGCCAGATCCACTAAATAAAGCTATGCATGATCCTTGGTGTCATTTATTTTGGTTTCCGACGGGTAAGTCTAGCTAAGTACATTCTAGTACTCAGGGTTTATTCCCTCTTGTTGTAGATGACCTTCTATATCCGGGATTCTATAAGTATTGTCTCCACCCGACGGGTGATGAAGACTAGATCATGGGCATGATCTTGGTTGTATGCAAGTTGGTTTGAAATCCTTCGAGATTTCAGTTGACTACCGGGTTTATATGGGCTCAAGTTCAAGAATTTGATCATTTTGGCGATTGTTTATTTACTTGTGCTCTTATAAATTGGTCGGTTCTGTGACAATAATCATTGCGTGACATATCCTACTTAAGTCCAATTTCACTACTTAACTCATGACTAACACCCGCGGTGTTACACTTTTATTGACTTTTGCTAAAAGGATCAACAATGCCTAGACGGGGGCGGGGGTTGAATAGGCATATCTAAAAATCTCTTACAAAAACTCAAAGAAGTGGTGTCAGTAGTATCAGAACTTCCAAAGATTGTATCCGAACTCCAATCTGGATAGGAAGTTCTGAAGTAATATGTCATACTTTTGGCTTTTAGAGAGTAAGCTAAAACACTATGAATTCAACTCAGATTCATATCAATGAAATACCACACTTAGGTATTGGTGGAGGTGTTGTTGCCCTTCCTTTTACTATAAACTTCACTAAAAGATAGATTGGGACCAAACCCTAGAAAGAGGCTTAAGAGAGGTGGAGGCAAACAAATCACAAGTAATAGCAAGTAATCACAACAACAACAAGCACGTGAGACACAAGAATATATCCTGAGGTTTGGCCAAACCACAAAGGAGTGCCTATGTCCTCATTGTTGAGATTACCACAAAGGTCAGAGTCTCTTTCATCTCTTTGCCCCTCTCGAGTGACAACAAAGTTCAACTTGAGCTTTCCACTAGAACAAATCGGGTAATACAAACCCCTTATGCTCACCACAAGATTGGAAGCTCCTAGGCAATTCCTGGCCGGCTAGGGGCAAAGCCCAAGATTAAAGAAACACGAGCCACACCAGCTTGGCAAAGAAATCAAGTGCTCAAGAGTGGATCTCAAGTTTTCTCACTATTTCCCTTCCCTTATCTAAATCTCTTGCAAGATCTAGCTAGGGAAGCAAAGGGGAGAAGAGAAATGGGCTTTGAATGCTTAAGAATTGTTTTGGCTGAGGGTTGGTAGCAATGAATGAAGTGGTTAACGGTTGGAAGGAGAGAGGACTTCTGATGGTCAGGACCCTAGGATAGCTTCCAACATTTTGCATAGTTTGAATACCATCGGAACTTCCAACACATCGGAAGCCTGAGAAACTTCCAAAGGACACTAAGTCTAGGCTCACGCACGCACCATCGAAACTTTCGATGCTCGTTCAAACTTCCGATGTTGTGGAACTTATAAAGATGCCAACATGCTCTTGTGGTGCTTGTGTGTCTCTCAACTAGTTTTAAATGATTATTTAAGCAATTTATCTTATCCAAGTCAATTTGATTTGCATCCCTCTTTATAGCGCGATGTTTCCAAAAACCCAGTTTCAAAATATAAAACAAATTAAACCTCCATTGAGTTGAACTCTGCTTTCCTATAAGAATTGAGGGGTCACATTTCATAATTCAATTTCAACAGGACTAACACCTACATATCATCCTCATTAAAATGGTTAGTCCCTAAATTGCTTTGTCATTAACTCAACAAAACCCACATATGGAGCCAAATGCACTTACAATTGCCCTTCCCCTATTGGTATACCATTATGTTTTAAGGTTGCTACATGGGTTGAGCTTACTTGTGATTTATGTGATTTAAGGTTTGTGACTATGGTTTGCCCTTCCTACAACCTATTGTGATTAGGGTCGCAACATAGATTAAAGGTACTAGTAGCAATTTTTGCTCAAATGACCTCTACATAAATTGCTACTAAGAAACATTATGTTATTACACGTCCCCTACAATAGTTGACATATTATATCTATATAAGTTATTCCATGTCTCCATAGCTCCATGTAAGACATCATAGTATTAGTATAGAAGTATCGTATGTTCTCTATACAAATTGATACTAATAATAACATAAATTAAAGATGCCAATAGATGTACAAGTACTACACCTTACAACAACCTAAGTTGACTATTACACCTTACTACACGTCCATGCATAAATTTTCAATAGACATATGAAAAGTTATCTATGAATGGCATAGTTTGTACATAAATTACTACTATACATTCAACACAAATTGACAGGACCACTTAACAGTTTGAAAATGTATTAAATATGGATCTTATTTTGTAGATATCATCATGAAAAATACAATGGTGTAAATGGATTTGAAAACAGACTTGATAAGAGAATGGTGCTTGTTTAAATAAAAAGTAGCTATTTTTCTCCCTGATGTCAGCATTGGCATCATTCCAAAAGCAAACTAGCTTCTCCACCCTAGGCAGGCGGTGACGAGTAATAGAAACACAAGAGGGCTAGTTTGGCAGAGCTTCCAACCCACACTCCCACTCTCTTTAGCTCCCACTCCCTTGCTACTCTAGAGTCGAAGCAACGTCATTTGGTAGAGCTCTCACAGAGGAAGAGGAGGGCGAGCTACGACAGCACTAGGAGGAGGCATGGGCTTGGTCTATAAGAGAGCTCAGCGATGGAAGGCTCAGTCTTAGGACCCACTTGGTCTTGGCGAGCTTGGTGATGATGAGATGGATCTCAGCGGGCTCGATCAATAAAGTCAAGGTGGATCTTAGCAACATAGGCTCAATGTCGATGACTGCTAGGAAACAGCAACGATGGCCACAGTGAAGAAGGATGGCATGAAGGTGGGGGTCACCATAGGAGGCAGGAAAGGCGGGGGAGGCGTCGTGAGGAAGAGGATGGAAGAGCAAAGTGGGAGTGGAGTGGGGAGAACGGGTTTTTCTGCTCCCCATCAGCAGCATAAATCATCAAGAGCAGATGGAGTGATTCCCGTGGCTTCTTGAATGTAGCGATAGCCTTTGGCAGTGCTCCATGGCTTCTTGCAAGGACCCGAGCTGCCAAATAGGCCTGAAGGCGGTTTGGTAGATAAGATGTGATGAGGAAGTCACTAGATGATGTGGAGAAAAAGAAAAATGTATTGTTTCATGGGGCCAACTTGAAATTTTGGGGCATGGCAGATTAGTCAATCAAATTTTGTGTTGCCACGCCATCTCTAAGGTGACAATGTTGATCTTGTAGTTTCCGTAATTGAATATTTAGATTAGCCATAAATAATAAATATAACAAATCAAACTTTGGGATAGCGAATAACATATAATATGGACAATGGAAGGTAGTATATCTAAAAACATCTATCTCTTGCATACAATATCACTACTACACAAATCTTTCTGGAGGTTGGCAAAAACGGTTTTTGTAGGTGGGCATTCTGCGCGAAAAGGTCTACCACTACTATAGATTTGGACATCACTATCAGCCTCATCACTGCAGGATTTGTGAGAACCGGCAGTGATGTACCTTCACTGCCGGTTCTGAGCTTGAAAATGAGAAAATGATTGGGGCTGGGAAAAAACCGGCAGCGAAGGACCACATTGTTTGTGGCTTGCACTGGCAGTGAGTTGATGGCCACTTATCACTGCTGGTTCTAACCAAGAGCTGACAGTGATTTGGTGCTGTCACTGTCAGTTCGAGACAAGAACTGGTGGTGATAAAATAGAATTACACAAAGCTGGCGCCGTCCTCTCCTTCCTCCTCTCTTCCATCCCAAGCATAGAGGTGCGTATTTGGGCCGCTCCCTCCATTGTTGCGGCTGCTCTTCACCGTGAAGCTGGCTCTTGGATTTGGAAGAATGGCTTGATCTTTTTACTTTAAGGTTAGTAACAAGCATGCACTCCTTTGATTTTGTTGCTTAATTAGCGTTGTTTTGATGGCTACATTGCTTGATTCTCATCTAGTTCTTTCTCCATTCTAGAGAGCACTTTTCCAATTAGACTTTGGGCAAGGCTTGCAAGCAAATTGTGGTGAATCCATCATCCAAAAGGTTGGTGTCTTTGAACACATTTAAAATCCTAGCTAATTACATGGTGGTCAAGATCATCGTTAGTATGTGATGCTATAATTAGTTCTTAATAAGAGTAGAGTAGATTCTTTTATAATTTTGGTGAGCAAATTAATCCATGTGTCACCTACCAACACATTGTTTGGAGCTATATTATTGTTCATGGTCATGTCTCCAATTTTAGTCTTTTTTTTAAATTAGTGTCTCCATTTTTATGTGACATCGAGTAGAATAATTGTTCTTCATTATTGTGCAATAATTGTTTTTTATGGGGGCTACAATTTTTAATTTATATGACCGGGGCTATCAATTTCAATTTTCCAATAATTAGTGTACAATAATGCTTTCCAAAAATGGGGTGACTAAATTAAATAAGTGTAGAATAAATGATACTTTCGAGCTACAATTGTTGTTTATGAAGCTCGACTTCTTATTAATTTCTCTGTAATTACTGTCTCAATATTTTTTATGCAGAGATGGATCGAGAGTGGATGCATCTATCCCGAATGGACAAGCAGTACATGCATGGCGTCAGCCAGTTTATCACCAATGCCAAAGTCCATGCTAGGAATGGGAACGTTGTCTTCTGCCCATGCAAAGATTGCATGAATCAAAGGAAATGGACTCAAATTGAGTCTGTACGAATGCACTAGATTACCAGGGGGTTCATGCCAAACTATATGATATGGACTATGCATGGCGAGGTTGGTGTGAATGTTCCGCGGAAAAACGATTCTCAACTACTACGTAATGTAGAGACCGGATGTCTTAGTGAAAGACAGCTGAGAAAGCTAAAAAAATGAGACAAGATGGCAAAACACCATTGTATAAGAATTGTCCAATGAGCAAATTGGAAACCAACATCATGCTGTTAGAGTTCAACTTGATAAATGGATTGAGCGATAAAGGCTTCGATCAGTTGTTAGGTATAATAAGGAAAATGCTCCTAGAAAAAATGAGTTGTCAGAAAAGACATACCTGGCTAAGCAAATGGTCTACCCCATTGGCCTCAAGGTTGAAAAAATCCATGCATATTCCAATGATTGCATATTGTACCATCGAGACGAATACAAAGACTTGGATGCATGCCCCAAGTGTGAAGCTCCATGATACAAGGAAGGGCCGTCAGATGAGGGTACCAAGACCAGAGGAGGTCTCGTGAAGGTCGTTTGGTATTTCCCTATAGCTCCTCGGGTGCATAGGCTGTTTGCATGTGCAAAGTCAGTTAAGCTGTTGTGCTGGCATGGCGAAGAGCGTAAGAAAGATACAATGATGAGGCACCCTGCCGATGGGAAGGACTAGAGGACAGTCAATACTGTGTTCTATAAGAACATCGGTGTAGAGGTAAGGAATTTGGTTTGCTTTGAGCACATATGGGATGAATCCTTTCGACCAGGTTAGAAGCAATCATAGCACCTAGCCAGTGACGCTCTGTATATATAACCTTCTACCTTGGCTCTGTATGAAGCGGTCGTACATCTAGATGCCACTACTGATCCATGGGCCAAGACAACCTGGGAATGACATCGATGTGTTTCTAGAACCAGTGATCGATGAACTAGTGGAGATGTTTGAAAAGGGTGTGGAGGATGTTTGGGACGAGTACAAAATGAACATGTCATGATCAATGCAATACTTATCGCTACAATCACTGACCTACCAGGTTGAGGTTGCTTGTCTAGAGAGAAGACAAATGGCTATACTGGATGTGTCGAGTGCTTGGACGACACCAATGCGGTACATCCGCCAAAGAACTCAAAGATAGTTTATATGGGACACCATATGTTCCTACCTAAGGATCACCCTTACCGTAGGAACAGAAAAGATTTTGATGGGACTATTAAGAAGCGTTTACCTCCAAAATATTGAGACGGGCATGTGATACTTCGAGAAGTCAACAAACTAGAGGTTGTCCTTGGGAAGGGGCACAATGCAGTAGCAGCACCTGATGGGAGCGTTTAGAAGAAAAAATTGGTTTTTTGGAAACTACCTTACTAACCAGTGCTGAGTGCACGCCACTGTCTTGATCCCATGCACATTACTAAAAATGTGTGCGGTAACACGCTTAACACCTTGATGGACACCGGGGGGGAACATCAAAGGATTCACTAGCCATATGCCTGGACATGCAACACTTGGGAATCAGGAAGGAGCTGCATCCCATGGCGCTATAGGATGGCCAGTTCCAACTTCTGGTTGCATCGTGGACCTTGAAGAAGGAAGAAAAGCGTGCGCTTATTTCCTTCTTCAATGAACTCAAAGTCCCGATGGGCTACTATGCGAACTCGAAGAGGCTAGTGAACATGAGAGAACTCAAGTTCAACTATGGTTGTATGAAGGCCCATGACTGTCATGTCATTATGACTTAGCTACTCTTTGTTGCCCTGCGTGGTATCCTCCCCCCAAAGGTCGATGCCCCAATCATAAAGTTGTGCTCGTTCTTCAACGCGATCTCAAAAAAGGTCATTGATGTGTCCACGTTGGACCAGCTACAGCGAGACATAGCCAAAACTCTCGTTAGGCTTGAGATGCATTTCCCACTGACTTACTTTGATATCTCAGTGCATCTGCTCATTCATCTTGTTGATCAAATTAGAGCCCTTGGCCCAATGTACCTGCATAAGATGTTGCCTTTCGAAAGGTTGATGAAAGTTTTCAGGAGGTATGTTAGAAACAAATTTAGGCCAGAATAGGGTATGGTTGAAGGATGGTCAATGGAGGAGGCCATTGAGTTCTGCACATATTATCTGGACATCAATAGGGTCAGAGTTCCAAAATCTCGTCACAAGGGAAGACTAGGTGGCAAAGGAACTACCGGGGAGAAATCTATCATAGAAGACGACCTTGTTTCTTTCAGATAGGCACAATTTGCTATTCTCCAGCAAGCAGAGGATGTGATGCCATACATTGACGAGCATAGGCAATCCCTGCAAACTTTGTATCCGAACAGGTCACAGGCTTGGCTTGATAAAAAAAACATGAGGAATTTGTTAGCCGGTTGCGATGCCGCTTGATTGGAACAATGTTGGGTAATCAGCTGGATATCTTAGCCAAGGGACCTTCGAGTACATTGCTTAAGTACCAAGGGTATGAGATCAATGGATTTACATTTTACACAAAAAAACAAGATGAAAAGAGCACATACCAAAATAGTGGTGTTCGTTTCGATGCTCATAATGAAAACGACAACGTGCAGGCGACGTACTATGGTTTCATAGAGGAGATATGGGAGCTAGACTATGGTCGGTTGAAGGCAGCTCTTTTTCGTTGCTGGTGGGTCTAGCTCGAGGAAATCACCACCGACAAAGAAGGGTTCACTACCGTTGATCTCACCAAGACCCATACGGAGATGACCCCTTCGTCCTTGCAAAAGACGTTATGCAAATCTTCTATGCAGGGACAACAAGACAAAAGCAAAGCTAAAAGTAGTCCTAGAAGAAAAAAGGAAGATTGTCGGTGTCGATGGAGTGATGGACAAAGAAGACTACAGGGGCTATCAGGAAATGCCTGTATTCAGGGTGAACGTACCCCTACCTATCCTTGAAGAGGGTGACGAACCTACTTATGTTCGGCGTGATCACGACGAGGCCATCATTGTTGGACCCGATGAAGATAGTTAGATTATTATTAACTATGTAGTCATTATTCTAACGTTATATCAGTGATTCGCACTAAATATCTAATTTATATTTTGTGCGCATCTCTATAGTTTAATTATTGACTATGTAATTAAATATTGAGATGATGTTCACAAACACTATTATTTGATAATTATAGACCATTAATTAATTATCATAGAATTAAATAATCAAGACACAATTTTTTGTG